AATGACACTGAGAGAAAACTTGAAAGTCTAAAAGGATGTTCTGGATGTTCGCCATGAATAATTGCCTTGATGGGACTGGTAACTAAATAGCATTGCAGGAATATTTGCCCAATTTTCATAAAACTATTATGCCTTTTATTTTCAAAGCAAGTAACTACAGAGCCATGTGGTCTGTCGGTAAATGTTCAAATGATTAACTGAGAAATGTGGGTGGAAGAAGGCTGCTAGGCATACAAATTGGAGAAAAACAAAATTTAGGAAAGGATGTTTTTTGAATTTTAAAAGCTAAAAGCAGTTTGGTCTCTAGAATGATGTTCCACATACAGTGCTGAGACCTACACCCCAAGGGAGAGAAAAGGAAACATTGGCACATCTGTTTCAACGGTTATTTTTGATCATGCTCAGAGTTATGTTTTCAAATTCAGGTTTGCTTAGAGTTAAAATCTTGGCACAGATCAAGAGTCAGTTGCAAAGCCAAACTGCATGTGTTAGAATTAGCCCTGTTGCAGAAATGGCAAGCCCTCCAGCCTTTCTGCCTTGCAGGCTTGCCCAGCCCTCTCCTATCCCTGGTTGGAACTGTATAAGCCCAGATCCAGGCCTGCAAGCCATAAGAACAAGGTTGGGAACAGAGATGTGTCTGTGGAAGAAGTTGGGGGTGGGCCTGTTACCCCAAAGAGAGTCTGGTGAGAGTCTGGCACTTCTCCATTGCCATTCATAGCCTGGCCTGTGAAGCTCACTGTGAAACTCACAATCCAGGATGAAAATGGTGAGAAAGGCAGTAACTCAAGCTGGACTACTGAACCTAGAAACCCCAACAAACCCTCTTGTATGGAAGCTCTCAACAGCTGACTTTGAGATCCACTATAGAACTCAGTAAGTTCATTCCAATCACCACCACTACTGTGCTACTGGAGCTTTCATGCTGCTTGCTGCTCACCTCTCTACCTCCACCATTTCAACCACCACCATAAACGTCAGTACCACCCATCACCACTTACACTATCATCTCAAACACCATTACAACCATTACTGCCACCATCTTCACTGTCATCACCACTGCCATCACAATTACTACCTCCATCATCATCACCACCAGCCCCACCATGTCCACTCTCATCACCACCATTATACAGCTGCGCACTGGCAGAGCTGGATTTATAACCTGGTTATAACCAGGTCTGGCTACTTTTACTTACTTTGCTTTATTGTATAACCAGAGAACATAAAGAGCAAAGTCAAGAGTCTGGCATTCCTTCCAAAATTGCTGGAGTAGGTCACATAAATACACCCTGCTACTGACTATTTTCATTAAATATAAGCTCTGATGTCTTTAAAATTACAAATGCAGTTCATAACTGTAATCCAAGCACTTGGGAGGCTGAGGCTGGAGGACCATGAGTTTGAGGCCAGTATGAAACTGTGAGACCCTATTTCAAACAAAACAAAACAAGCATTGAAAAAATAAAACAAATACTGAAGGGCATATTCCTCAACCAGGCTTCAGAAGAGTGTGTCCTTGCTATGAAGGGCCCAGTCATCACTTCTCTGTAAAGATGCCCAGCTCAACCCAGTGCCAATACACCAGATAGAAGAGGAAATGGTTATTGATACAAATAGAGCTTTAGATGTTCCAGGGAAAAGCTGCTTGAACTCCTGGAGGACTAGGTTTTTAACTTTTTTTGGCTGGTGGCAGTTCGGGATCCATGGAAAAATGTGTAAGTAAGTTACATCCTGGAAGAATGAAGTAAACGCAACCACATCTGAGGGCTGGCAATTTCAGAAAGGGTACTACTCTCCTAATAAGACAGAATTTCATTTAGTTTCTTAAAAATGCTTTAAACTTTAAGTCTAAATGACTCTCTCAAAAAAGGGACAATGCTTTCAGGATATTGCAAGTCACATTCCAATCCTGTCCGCATGATTTGATCATTTCTACCATGTGAAACACATTCCCAGATGATTTATCATTAATACATTAATGATAATTCATGCAAAATATGTAACAAAGAATCAGTAAGTGTTTATTGTTTGAAAATATAAGATCAGGGAATTGGTTCTTTTATTGGCAACCAGTTAGAAAACAGTGTCTCTACTTTAAATTTGAGCTGTTAGAATTAGATTTAAATTTTTTTTGTGATATTAAATTGAAAGGCTAAATTTTCCATTAAGTCAAATGCTACAAAAATCTACTTATCATAAAATGAAAATGGTGAAGGATTATATCCAAAAAGGCAGAATCAATATGATCATATCAGGTTTGCACCAAAAAAGCAATAGCTGTTGTCATATAAAGCTTTAACACAACATACTCACAAAAATGTCACAACAGTCCCTTGGATATATTGCAAGTTGTGTAAGATAGAGATTCCAGTCACTTTTCTAATAAAAGTATTTTATAAAAGACTACTATGTACTTGTTTGAGAAAGATGTAAAACTTTGAACTTTTAATGGCATCAGTTACATCCCTGCAATCCTGCAGCAAAAAAAGTCTCCCCTCCAAACAGTATGCACCAAGTGTTTAACACATTAATTATCATCCTTCATCAAGCATAAAACTAACAGTCAGGAAATACAGCTGCAATGGCACAATTACCAACACTCTCAGAATACACCCTGAAGCAAAGAAAACAAATGGTTTGCTTTTCATTAACAGAGCTTGGCAACCCTCTCCAAAGACAATGTTTTCTTTCCAGTCAGCATCCCAAAAGGCAGTTAAGGGGCTGTTTGCTTTCGTAAACCCAGAGAATAAATTATCATAAAACATTTATTTAAATTTCAAAATATCCATGATCAATATACAATGCCATTCCAAAATTATATATATTAAAAGATGACTTGAAAAGTAAAAATATAGGATATATATTTTACAAGAATATTGGAGCAAGAGGGTTGGGCATTCAAACAATGTCTTCATATTGAACCATGATACATAAGGTATTAATGGTTTTCATCGGCATGTTTTGTGGCATACAATTTGATACTCAAGTACCTCCATCTATAAAATATAATGACCTGTGTATAACAGGATTTTACTATATTAGCTTGGAGTCCACATAAAATAACTATCTGCTTGAGATTGTAATATGTCATCACTGAAAGCATTCTTGAGAGGTAATAAAAATAGTTTATTTGGTTGGTTTCTGGATACTGACCCTTAATATTAATTACATAACACTATTATACTTTAACAGATGTATTACTCCTACTAAGATTATAATTAAACTATGCACTATTATTTGAACCACAATTTAAGGAAGGATCTGGGGATATAAAAGGTTATGAAGAATCATCTGCCCAAAGTATTTATTATTATGTACTGAACCATGACTGTCAAACTTTCACTAAATTCTCTGCCCAGAAATCCTCTAGCATAATCAGCTTGATCCTCTCTGCAGGACAAATAGCATGGCAAAAATTAAGGAGCCATATTTTCCTCAGCACAGGAGGCCAGGGATACACATATGGATTCTTCCATACTTATGGCATAACTTCAATGTCACGAATTCCATGTTGTACTATATATGCAATTAATTCAAACATGAAGTTCTTTTGAGCTGTACTTGGGGTAGGCACAATTTCATCTTCCATATGGCCAATTTATGTTACATACAGTTGTCTTTCAAAAGACAGATAACCTTTGGTGCTGGGTATAAAATAAAACTTGGTGCGCTGAACGTGCCTTATGGAAAGGTAGTCCATGGTCTGCTTGGACTGGTATAAGAATTGTGAATAGCATGAGTTATAATTTTAACTAGTTTACCTTCATCAGGATGGCTACTTCCTAAGGTGCTGAAAACAGCAGTAAATCACAGCCCCTACCAAAACGGTACCCTTGCCAGTGTAATGAAGGCTGGACAAAGGAGGATATATAAGGGCTTATAGTGGACAAAGCGAATCAGTGCATATTCTGAATGCATTTACGATGCAGCATGCCAATGAGTACCAATGAATGGGTGAGGTGAAGATTATAAGAAACAACTCCACGGCCAGGTGTCCTGCTCGGAGTTAAGTCAAGTGTATTCCAGGGTGAGTGAACTCTCTTGGGCTCCTTTTGGGATCTTCCTTTTAAAGGCAAGGTCTTAAAGGGACTCATATACTTTTGTAGATACAGTGACATTATAATCATCTCAAAATCAAAGTATTTTAAGGCAAGAAAAAGAAAAGCTTTGATGTTTTGTCATGCAAAGTGTTAAGACACTTACAAATTTCCTGCAAACTAGGAGCAAAGCAATTTCAAGGTAAACTTTATCTAGCTCTTGCTTGATGTTTTTCTTTCAAAGATATGACTTTGTAGCAAAGCTCCCCCTGCACTGTTCTTTCATCATTCTTAAAATTCTTTTGGAACCCAAATCACTTCCTTATCTTGATATGCATTCATTGCTAGTAACCATTCGAGAGAAAAATAATTCCAATTCAGTTTCAATACTGAGAATCAGACACTGTGCATGTGCAAGTATTCCTTCTGAGTTGAAAAGTCCTTGAGTTTAATGTTACTTTTCAATAGGAGAATATTATTGTAGTCTTATGGAAAAATTCAATTGTATGTTAGATAGTACTCTCAGAATAAAGTATTTTTTAGAAGGAAGAAAGAAAACTGATGATTAAAAAGTAGGATTGAGGTATAGCTCAGTGGAAGAACAACTTGGCTAACATGTGTGAGTCCCTGGGTCCATCCGTAGCAACACACACACACACACAAAATAATGGAGTTCATGGTACTTGGGCAATCCTCACTTCAGCATGTCAAGTATTTTAAAGGAGAAGGATCAATCCTCACTTTTGAGTTCAGTACAATTCACTTGCCAGTAATGTGTCAACTTCTGCTTTTGAATTGCAGTGGGTTATCATAGTTCTGAACAGTGATACAGCAAAAAGACCCTGGAGAGGGAACATAGTTCTCTCTTGGAACAATGATGCTCACTGCAATAGACATTGCTTACTATAGAAGTAAAACTTGACTTTTCATAAGATTTTCTCATGGCCTCTCTAGCTTCCATACCTTTAGTGTAGTGAATTCATATGGTTGGTAACCTTTGAAGCTCTCATGGATGGCTGCCATAGTGTGAGAAGTTTTCTCCCAAAAATGAAGCAGAGTAGTCTAAAAAAGAAAGAGTAAAGCTATTAATGCTTTAAAAATGCTCAGTTCTAGTCCTGCATCCCAGAGAAGGATACCTAACTGTTTCTTTCAAGATACTCTAAAATGCGATTCTGATTCATTTCTGCACCCTGTTTTCCACTATGCCCCATGTACACCTTGTATTTCAGTCAAATTAAATACCTCCTACCACCTGGGACCCATCCTTTCCTTTCTCTTTGTCTCATACAATCCATCCTCCAAAATTCAGGACTAATAATTCATCTAGTTTTATGATTATTTAACTGATTTGATTTCTCCCTCTTCAAACCCTAATTGGCTTTCTTAGAACTTTATTTATTTTTTTGTGCATCCTGCTTTGACCTAGAGGTTTAGGAAGTTAGACCTTCCTGTCTCCAGCTTCCTGAAGATGAGGAATCTGGTCGTATTAATTTTCACATCTCCTACAATACCCAGCTTTTGGCATCCTACCCTCAGTTGGGGGTCAATAGCACTTGTAAAGGACACAAGTGCCATGCTGAAGAAATTCAGAGGCTATTAGGGGAGACAAAAACCAGGTGCACTGGAAAATGACAACCCAAAGAGAAAAGTATGCCATGAGACTTGTAAGGCACAATAGTAAGGGACTTCACAGGATGCTTACTTAAAGGATTTGACATTTGGTTTGGTACATCAAAAAGTATAGAATTTGGAAAGACACAAATGGAGGCAAAAGGAGCTCCAGGCAGAAAGGACCACAAAGTAAATGCAGGGAAATTGGAAATTACAGTGTTTATACAAGAGAATAGCTACTACTATACTCACTTTGATTAAACTGTCAGACGCTAGAAGGCAGAGATGTGGCAAGTAATTTCTGAGAAAGCATTCCAAACTTCATAAATGCCCAAACCACTGTTTCAGCTCAGACATCGGTTTTATGTTATCTAATCCTCATGCCATTCTTTCTTCACTGAAACAAACATCACTTTGTTACCTGGTATGTTGCCAGCATGTGAGACAAGAGATTGCATCTACTCGCTCCAAGAAGATCCACTTTTTGACACACATCCATCTTCAATTTGTCAAAATTTTTTTTCGCAAGGCGTACTTGTGTCTGTACCTATGAAAGTAAAAGGGAATTATTGAACCACTCAAAGTAGTTAAAATTTTCAGGTGAGAAAAGACGAATAGTAGGGACTCTCTCTTTTATTTATACTTTGAAAACTCTAGTCAAATGAGAAGACCTAACAACATCTATTCTTTACCTCCAAAGGACCTAAATGAGAGTACTGAAAATTACCATTTAGAGCAGATTTACCATCCTTGGGTGTTTTGTCTTTTTTTTTCTCTCAGGCTAATGTTAACATTTCTGTCTTCTCAAGGCATTTACAAACTAACCAGAAGGGGAACAAGTATTGAGATGCACAGAGAATAAGCTTTGGTCCACTTCCTAGAGTCCTTGGAAGCTAAGTTTCCATACATTCTTCACTCAACTTGTCTTACTGTTAACATCTTACATAATTTGCTAAAGTGAAGAAGTTATCATGGATACATCCCATTTACTACTCTATAGACTTTATTTGGCTTTCACTTGTTTTTCTATTAATGTCCTTCCTCTGTTCCAGAAGCCAATCCATATCAAGGAGTTCAACCTAAAAAAACTATCCTTACCGGTAGTCTTTTAATTTTTATTATTGAGTAATATATAGCAGCAATCCTCCACCCATCCTGAACCATACAGTAATTCAGGGAAGGGAGTAGAGGCCAAGGAAAGATTCAAGATGTCAATTCCATATATAATTGCATAATAAAATTAGAAGGTTTTAACCTTAATACAGCTATTTAAACCCTTTTTTAATCTTATTATTGCATGGGGAATACATTATGACATTTACAAAGTACTTACAATATATATTAGTTAAATTCACTTCCTCCATCATTCTCCTTTATCTCCCTCCCCTTAATTCTTAGAGTAGTTTCAACAGACCTCAATTTTCCATTTTCATACATGAATATATACTATTTTCACCATAATAAAAGCTACTTTAAAAATTATGAAGTGAAAATTTCTTCTTCCTCTAATCCAGTGTCATCAGAACATATTTTGGCAGGGAATGCCAACCAAGTTTTTTCAAATCACTTTTTCTACATATGATTAACTGTACATATATAATGTATTCAACTTGATTAGTTCAAATATTAATTTATCTCAGATAATTCAAGAAGCTGTAGATACTAGGTGGGTAACAGAGTTGGAAGTAACACTTATTAACAATAATGTTCATTGTAAGATACCAGGTGGTGTTTTTATTTTCTCATGAAAACAAATGTATCATTTTATATAAATACATTAATTTTACAACCAGTACTAATATTTATAGTTTATACAATATAGGGATTATAAAATAATAGGAATAGTAATAGCAAATATAACAACTGATTTACTTTACCGCATGCCAACCTTCCTGCTATGATTATTTCCCTCACTGATAAGGATTGAGAGGCTTCCTCAGAGCAAGGGCCCTGACCCCAAAGCCATGCTACTCTGCCTCCCAAGAAAGTTACACTATTCCCTGAAAAATCAAGAAGCTCAAAATTATGATTCAACCCAGAAACACATGTAGATTTTCCTATAGGAGTCTATGGAACTGGGAAATAACACCATAGTGGTAGAATTCATACCTGTGTGAATCGAAGTCTTATGAAGAGCATCTATAGTTATATAAAAGGTTTCCAAAGAATTCTTCTGTTTTCTCTATCTACAGACCTGGGAGGACCAGAGAACAGTAGCCATCCGCTCCTCTCAAACTGACCATACCATGAGCTGAAATCATTTCCTATAATAGAGTGGGGAGCTACCCTTTCAGCTCTTGGGAGTTCTGAGTATAAGAAGAGTTTACAAGAGTTAATGTTGGTGATTTTCTGCCTTTCTTTGAGGAATAAGGAGATGGAAAGGAGAACACCCGAGTTCTGGAGGGGAGAAGTGGGAGTCTTGGGGGGAAGATGTTCAACAGCTGGGATTTTCATCGAAGGTCTCCCCATTAGTCACCAGTTGCTTGGGCCAGGAAAGCCTCCTCAACTGGAATTCTGAAAGGTATCTGTCCTCAGTCTTTTCCTCTGAAAGGAAAGGAAATACATGTGGGAGTGAACTTTCATGTGTGATTTCATTCAACACATATTTATTGAGTGCCTATTTTGTGTCAGGTCTAACACTAGGCATGGCAGATGCCTGTAAAGGAGTAGGACATATAACAGGTAGTCAATAAATAGTTAAGAATGAATGACATTGTCATAAGGACTCCTAGCCTTAAGGAGTTCTGACAAGTTAGCAACTGTATTGTAACACAATGAGAGCTGAGAGGAGGAACAGAGGTAGAACAGATGAGGGAATGATCTGGTGGTGGGGTGGGGGGTCACTGAAGGATGATGGCATTAAAACTCTAACCAGCAGCTTTCTAGTGTCACCACTCTCTCCCTTGTAACTTCATAGTCTCTTCCCTCTCTGACTCTGGGCTTGGCCATGAGACTTTACTTTGGCCTATGAGGAGCTAAAAAAATGTCATGCAATTGGAAACTTGAAAAAAATGTTAGCATGTTTTACTTTCTCTCTTGCTTCTCTGAGATAGGATGAGAATATGCCCTGGCTGGCCAGCTGGAGGGGTGGGAGAGACTCAACATGCATTCAGGATATAGCCCAGCTGTAGAGGAGCCAAGCCATTATTAACAGAGCCCCCCACCTTGCCCCATAGCTGACCACCAACATGTGGGTGAGCCCAGAGACCAGAGCTGCCCTTCTAACAACAGACTTGTGAAGAATAAGGAGATGCTTCTTGTTTTCAACCACTGTATATTATGGTTGCTAATTTCAAATGGTATTGTGGCCACAGATAACGGATATAAACAGTAAAGAAAGAGACAATGAAGGCTTCAGAGAAGAGGCAATATTTCAGATGGGTCTTATACCATAGCTAGGAGGTACCAAGCAAATGTAAGACTGTCCCATTTTCACAGTTGTAGATTTTCTAATTAAATGCAAAGTAATTTTTGCAGAAGTATGAGTTTTGATCATTCCTTTACATTAATATAATCAGTTACTAATTGTATTCTGATATCTTAGGAGAAAACTTACTTCACTTGCTTGTAACACTAGACCCATGAATTAATATAGTTTAAAATATGCCCTAATTAAATTTCATTTGAATTTTCAAAGGTAATTTTAGAAACCCAGAAGATGACTTCAACACTTGACCCAGTGAGTTCTGAAAGGCCATATGCTTTGTGTGTCAACAATGATTATCAAAATACTGAATGCACTGCTGAGTTTCCAAATGCTGAGCCCTTTCCCTGCCAAACAAGGAGGATGTTACACTGTTGGGCATTTTGAATACAGTAAAATTCATTTAATATTTTGTGTTCTGTGTCTGCTCTATAAAACATACTTCCAGTCTGCAGCCCAAGGACAAAACACCAAGGCCACAGCCGAGCACAGGCTACCACCAAACAAGAGTATAATTTCATATGCCTCCAGACACACTTAAGTGAAAAATGTTTTGATTATTATTCCTCTCAATCCCAGATAAATTATATTCAATTACATAAACATCTTGAGGAGCTCCTGTGGTTTTCAAGGCTCTTTAAAATTTTTTTGCTCAAATAAATGTACCCTTTGTTTATTTCTTCATTTTATTTCAGTTACCTCACCTTTTTCTTCTTAGTCCCCAAATTCTAGGAAATGACTAGGCATATTATAACCTCTTGAGTCTGGGTCTTGCATTCCCCAGGCCACAGAAATTCAATTTACCAGAGAAAGCAGCAATGTCTCTACTGCCAAAAGTACAGGATATTTCTCTGTACTTATTCTCCTAACCTGAAATTCTACCTGGTAGCCCCAACTTGAACTACATAGGGTGAAGCCAAAGCTATTCATCCTCAAATTCAATCTGGCTTCCCTTTCCAGTGGGAAAGGTCTTCATATTACTCAACAACCAAATAATCTGAGAATACTTTTACATTTTTTCCAGGTGTTTTATTTCCTTTAAGAGCAAAATAAAGCAAAAACAATTCTCTTATTTTTAGATCTTCTTTCAGGAGATATAGCTCTGTTTCCTCCACCCATTCATTTGGTAAATGTTTACTGGTTATCTTGTCTAAGCTGATAGCAGCAAGCACAAATGGAGGTAGACTTTGCCCTTGTGGATCTGACAGTCCAGTGGGAATTTTCATATTGGTGAAGACTTAAGTACAGATGGAATGAGGTGCTCAGAAGGAAAACATATAGTCCTACAAGAATGACCAACCAAGGAATTATACCCAGAGGATGTCCTCCAAGGACAAAGTACTAAACCTATATTCTGAAAGGTTAAGCACAAGTAACTATACAAGGAGAGAGTTATACAACAGAGGGAGGAACATATGCAAAGGCCCTAGGATCGAAGACAAAAGGGATGTCCTAGAAGACAGTAGGCTAGGTTGCTGCGAACATGAAGGAAAGTGGTATGAGATGAGGCAGGAGAGATGGGTCAGGTCATATCCTGGAGTAGGGACTTGGTGTGTTCAAGATTTTAGTTTTTGTGCTATAACAGTGGAAAAACATTGGAGGCTTTTAATCAAAGAAGATAAAGGATCCTATCTGCAGTATGACAAGATCACTCACTGCAGCGTGGAGACAGACAAGGAGAGAGATGAAAGTGATAAGGTTAGATCTGAAGTTGAGGGGAAAGATGATGTTGGTTTCAGACCTCAGGTAGTAATGCTGGATATGGAAAATAATGCACTGATTTGAGAGATATTTAGGGGGTAAAACAGGACCTAGTGTAGGACTAAATCCCAATATTCTTGTCTAACTTGACTTTCCACTAGCTGATTGTACCTATCAACCTCTGTGGACACTTCCCCTTCAAACCATATCAGAATTCTGGCTTTCTTTGCAATTAGCTGTCAAATATTCCTCCCTAATTAACTTGATCTGTTCATCCCTATTTCCCTCAGAGGCAGCATTCTCATTCAGGGAAAAGTTGTAAGATCATAGGATATGCTAACTACTTCTTTTGGACTTTAGCAAGAGGCCATGACACAAAGTCTAATTGGGCCAATCGGAAGTCGGAAAACAAGGTCAGATAT